AGTGACGGGTAGGGTTAGTATGGTGGTTAGGGTGGGTACGGGTGCGGAGCGGGTGTTTCATTTAAGGTTAGGGCTTTTAGTGTTAGTCGGAGCTTACTATTATCTTGGCTTACTATTATCTTTCTTGAGTGGTACGGTATTGAAATCTGCTCATGTAGCTGATCCATCATCATGGCTCATGACGATCAGCTGGCTGTTGGCAGCTACCTAAACAGGGCGGACATTTTTACCTCACTGCAGGGGCTCTCCTATGCGTTAATCTTTCTTTCGTGAGCTACCTGAAGTTGCCATGTGGCATACCACTTTCTCTGCTGTCTGAGGGGACGGGTAAACTTCTCGGGCGTGAAAGGGGACCGTTCATGATGTTTGGACGTGAAGGTTGAGCTCAGTCCTGAGGGCCTCCTTTTCTGAGGGAGATGGCTGCTATGGAAAGCACCTCGGTTTCAGCACATGAGGGCCTCCTGAATCACAAGGACCGAAAAGGGTCTGCAGATCTCAACCAGAGGAAGAGCCTGCATTCAGAGCTGAAGCCGGCATTGGATGACCCGGAGCTGGACCAGTTTTGGGTGACCACTGACGAGGACAGCGATGGCGACGTTCCTTCCAGAAAGGCTGGCAGAAAGGTGGGACCTCCCCAGAATGCCAGAGAGCAGGGGAGGAGACCCGGGCTCGGTCAAGTGAGCGGTCCTGAGGCAAGGGTTTCGGCCACTGGTGGACCACATTCTCAGCGGCCAACTTTCGCGATCGCAAACGGCAACGTCACGGCAAAAGAACAGGGGGTGCAGTCCCTTGCTGATACGAAGCGCAGCACCTACTTTGTGGAAAGCCCGACGAGTGTGGACTCCGGCCACGACGTATTTCTGGAGGTGCAAACGCCCCGGCGCAGCTTTGAAGCAGGAGAATATGAGAAGAACCTCGCAAAGCTGAGAGAGCTTGAGAGACAGACAGGAGTTGAGCGTCCTCTAGAGGCGAGGGAGGCGGGGGCCGTGGTGACGAGGGTACATAGGAAGGTGGACAGGCTAGGGATACAGGACGGCCATCAGAGAGAGCAGGTTGCACGTTGCATCCTTGAGGTGAGGCACTGACCAGTCAGCATTGTTCGGCAGCGTTGTAATGTGGTGCAGAGTGGGAGTGCTGTTACGAACGTGTAAGTTTTCGCACGTTCTGTTATTATCATAATGCAGACTCTCTTTACAGAGAGCACAGAGCAGTACTGAGGGGAGGTTATCGCATCTTGGTATAGTTACTAGTGTGCCCAAAAAATCTAAGACCTGTTCCTTCTGACGTTGCTGAAATGCATGATGGACACTGTCCTCAGGTTCCTCAAAGTTCAGCCTTAAAAATAGTTTGGGTCTTTTGTTGTTTCATGTTGCTTTGAGTTGAAAGGGTCTGAAGCAGTAAGTGATTGGTTTTTTGGTTATCCTGATCTTATTGGTAGTCGCTACTTTTTGGCGTCGTGCCAAGTGCTAGCAGATCCCCCATACTGAGGAAACACAACAGGCTGCACTCCTCCCTCTCTGCTTTTACTTAGTCTCTCATGAGCGCTTCTGTAGATCTGTGCTGATGAGACTCACAGAGGGTACCAAAGCTTCAATGCCATGTGTAGTGTCAGTAGGCTTCTCCAGAAAGGCTGGGAAAGTATGCTCAGAAAGATAAAGAGCCTTGTGTTGACGCACCCTTTCTTCGTAGCTGTGTCTAGGTCAGCTTTCTTCTTGCAGACGAACGCTCTTAGGTCTTGAAAATTATGGTTTGCAGTTATATGCCTTGCCGGTTAAGCGTTTTGACACCTTGGGGACAGCCTGAGTGACAAGCCAATGTGGATTTGCCAAGTGATGATTGTAAAGCCTGGGTGTGACTATCCCACCTTCATCTGATGTGACAGTTTGTGAGCTTTGGCGAACCCCCAAGATTTGACCAGTGACTCACCATAGCAAGCATCCTCGACAAAATGCTCTAAAATCGTTTTCCATGACAAAGTTGGGCCTTGGATAGACTTTGAAAAAGTCAGGTTCATCCGTTGTGACGCCACTTTTTTGAAGGCAGAAAAGTTGTATCACATCCAAGCAGCGGACAAGCAGTTCCTGGAACAGCGCGTTTTCTGGACAGTGTTTGTACTCAGTGCCCCGTACTCAATGCCCCCGCTCCAGACACATAGCCAAGCTCGGCCGCTGACTTCCCAAACAAATTTTTCCGTCATTCTAAGCAAGGACTTAACCGCACTAGGTTGAAGAACGGGGCCCTGTTGTATGCAGGCTGAGCTGGGTCGAGCCCACGCGAGCGCCACTCTGTCTGAGTGGGACGGTGTCGGACAGGGCCTCAGGCAGCTGGTGGTTGAGAAAGACGCAGAGCTGAACGCGCTGAGGGCATCCACAGCAGAGCAGAAGGTGGGCCTGGTCACAAACGGTCCTTCCCAGTTCCTTAACTTGATGGTTATGGCTCTCGCCCCTTGTGTCTTGATCCTGATCTTAAGGCTATGGGAGCTATATGGGATTTCAGAAATTCAGACGGCTTTCCTGCATTCTAGCGGCAAAGAGGTGAGGGAGAGCAGCGAAGAGGGGCTGCCTTTTGGGTACTGTTGGCCATTGATTACCCCCCTTCGGTCTAGCCACCTCCCTCTACTGAATCTGAACGAGGATTGATGATGGGGGGTCCTCCAATGGCGACTGAAGGGGTCGTTCAGGGAACTATCTTGAGAACAATAGATGACCATGCTGAAGATGGACTGGTCTCTTTTGAACGTTGAAGATGCAAAAGGGGAGCCTGTTGGGGGCTTTTCGTCTCATTAATGACTGTTGTGATGTGACCCCATGAGGCTAGTGCCTCAACTCTGGCTGTGAGTTGTAAACATCGTGACTTACCTCGTGTGGAGTACCTCATCTAACTATGGGCGTTTGCAGAGCTAATCTAGATTCTGGTTCTCACTGGTGACGTTTTGCATGGTCAGAACATGCACAGTCGCACTCACTGCAGTAGAGGGACCTTAGTTCCTCATCAACAGAGAAGTCTTCAGCAAAGATTTTGGGTGAGATCTCTCGTGCACTGTTTGGAAGAAAAGCTTATTTTCTTAGAGGCCGTGTGTTAGGAGTGCTGTCACAAGTGGTACAATCAGGTGCAATTTGATAGCGTGCCTCGCGTAAATGGCGCAGCGCAACCAAGGCCTTGGAGCTGGCTTTCTTTTTGTGTTTCTTGTCCTCCCTGCTGATGACAACCAGCTTTTGGCTGGCATTGAAGTGACCAGAGTCCTTCCGATCAAACGTCTTTCACCGGGAGACCCCAAGTTTTGCACGTCACAAACTTTTGCGGAAGCCACACAGAAAAATCAGTCAGGCAGTTTAGCACTCGCTTAGAAGCACAAAATCCATTGACGAGTCAGGCAATGCAATGCAGAACAAGCATGATGAGTCCCTGACCTGCATCTTGCCTGCTCCACAGAAACTAGAGGCGGCCTGCCGCGCCGCCGAGCGCGATGCCGAGACTGCGCGCCAGGAGGCCACGACCAGAGTCTCCGAAGTCGAGAAGCTGACGTCGGAGCGGGACCACTTACGGCTGGCCTTGTCAGACGCCGAGATGGACCTCCAGACAGCCACAAACCTGCTTGGCGAGGTGAAACAAGGCCTTGCCGGGAAGAAGGAAGAGGAAAAACATTTGGACGAGCGGATGGCGCGGCGGCAGTCTTCGGTAAAGCTCCAGGAACGGCTCCAGGCGGCGCAGGAGGCGATCCGGGTTAACGAGGGGGTTATCCGCGGGTTAGAGGAGCAGCTGAGGGGGGTTAAGGAGGGTTACGTGAAGGAGCGGCAGCAGTGGGTGAAGGACGCGATCGCGCAGCAGAGCACGATCATGGAGCACATCAAGGACCGCGAGACGTATGCGAAAGCAAAGGGGAAAGAGGTTAAGAAGCTGGGTCTTGCGGTGGAGAAGGCGCAGTTCGAGGCAGCGGAGCTCAAGGAAGAGGTCGCGAGGAAGGATGCCGAGCTCGAGAAGTTGAGGGCGCAACTAGAGGAGAGGGTAAACCTGGCCGGAGACGAGAAGACTGCCCTAGATAACCAGGTTAAGGAGCAGACCGCGCGAGTTACTGCGCTGGAAGAGCAGAACAGGGCGCAGAATGCAATCATTGCCGGGCTCGAGAAGCTGGTCGACGAGCGGACCCGGGTCAGCGTTACCCTGCAAGAGGAGAGCGAGAGCACCAAGTCGCAGCTGGCAGTCAGTAATCAGTTGGTTAAGTCGCTCAAGGCTCAGGTGGTTTCGCTGCAAAGTGAGCTTCAAACGGCCAAAAATCGGGAGGAGAGTTTGAGGGCTACGAGCGAGAAAGCCAAATCGCACGAGGCACGCGCGGCAGAAGTGACTGCAGCATTGGCCGTGGCGACGGCCCGAGTGGGGGTTCTAGATGGCGAGAAGGGGGATTTGCGGAAAGCGCTCGAAGCCAGTGAGGAGAAGGTCAGGCACCTGACGGCGCAACAGGAGACGGTTCTGGTAGAGTTGAAAGAAAGGGAAGCAAACGTCGCGGCAGTCAAAGCGCAGATCCAGAAGCTTGCGGAGGAAGCGGAAGCGAAGCTGCACGCCACGGTCGCCGATAAGGAGGCCGAGCTGTCCGCTCAGATCGTCGCTCTCGAGACACGGGTCCGGGAGTCCGAAGCTGCGCTGGAGCGGAGCGCCGCGGAGAAGGAGGCGCTCGAGGGCGAGAAACGAGAACTTCTAGGGGTGCATCAGGGGCGGAACAACGGGCAGGGACGCCAAGAGCGTGAACGATATTCTCTAGCGGTTCTCCAGGGCCAGAGCGACGGGGAAGGAAGCCAAGAGCGGCGGCGGAGCTTCGAGCGCCGGCGGAGCCTGGAGATCGAGGGCCCGTCGGGAGAGGACTTCGTGGGCATGCTTCACGAGAAGGAACAGCTGCTGAGCCGGACGATGTCGGACGCGTTGCAGAAGGAAGAGGAGATTCGGACGCTCAGGAGGGAAGCGTCCGAGGAGACGGCGGCGCTGGCGGCGGAGCTGCAGTCGGCGCGTGAGGAGCGCGAGAAGCTGCAGCTGAGGACGGAGTTCCTGCGAAAGAAAGTGGGCGAGCTCAAGGAACAGGTGGGGAGCAGGCCGACTCCAGGGACTAGAAAACCTGTTTACTTATCCTGGTCTCCCTCTTTCTGTGTAAAACTGGTCCCCTTCGACAAAGCGCTGAGGACGGAGTACTTGCACAAAGAGGGCGGCGAGCTTAAGGAACAGATAGAAGTGGTCGAGTAGCTATGTCTGAAGGCGACGTTCTTCTATGCGCTGTGTATCCCGTCACTTCCAAGACTCGTGAATGTTCCGGTGGGTGACCTTAAAGAGCAGGTGGCGGCCTGGCAAATCGCAGGATCCGGGAAATTTGAGAGTTTCCTGCAGCGATTTGCTGCTGTTCGCCAATTTGTTACCTATGTTTCGCCCTTCTTGTCCTATTGAAATCGAGTTTGTTCTGGCAGGATTAAGGCAGAGGCCCCTCGAACGACCTGCCATCAGCTCTTCTCTGCTGCAACTTTCTTCTCATTCTCCTTGCCAGGATCTCAGAAAGTTGCAGTACTAGAAAATTATGATTCATTGCAATCTGCATCCTTCTTGGCAACTGTTCTTGCCCGCCAATTACTCTCAATACAATCATAAGCAGATTGCCGAGAGAAGACTTCAATAGGATCTCGAGACGAATGAAACTAACATGGTTTTGGTTTTTGCTCCACCAGGCCGCGCTTCAGAGCGAGGAAGCGGTGGCCTCGGTGCACGCCCGAGACACCGAGGTGACCCGCCTGCGGCGCGAGCTCGACGGCGCCAACCGCCGGGCCGAGCAACTGGCACGTGCCTGCCGCAGCCTCCAGACGCAATTGGGTCACGTGGGCGCTGACGTGGCACCTTCAGGCGCGAGCGGGACGTCGCCGACGAAACGGAAGAGGAGCCGGTTGGACGACGCGGGGGCTGAGGAGGTTACTGAGGGGGTTAGGGAGGGGTCAGGAGTGGTTTCGGGAGGGGTTAGCGAGGGGTTTGGGAGGGTCGCGGAGCTCGAGGCGATGTTGGTGGGGAAGTCTAGAGAGTTGCGGGCTAAGGAGGCGGAGGTGAGGGGGTTGCAGGAGATTCTAAGGGTCCTCGCTGGCCAGCTGGAGGAAGCAGAGGAGACGCCGGTCAAGGACGGGCTCCTGAAGGAGAACGAGAGCGGGGAGAATCTGGAGGTCACGCCCGTGAAGACTCCGGCCAACAGTCCCACGGGCAGTCTGTCTCGCAGCATCGACGGGAGCCTCTTGAGCGCGATGAAGAACGCACTGCGGGGCGCAAACCTCGGCGGGAACTCTCTAGAGGTCTCCCCAGCCGTCGTGCCCAGGCGGGAACCTCTAGACGGTTCGTCCGGGAGCCTGGCCGTCACGCCGGCAACCAAGGAGCGGCTGGCGCTGAAGCGCGAGATCCGGGAGCTGTACGACCGACTGGAAAGGAAGGAAGACGAGATGGAAGGGCGGTTGCGCCAACAGACGGAGCAGTACCGGAGCGCGGAGCGGGAAGTGCTCGGGGCGTGGCGCGAGAAGGAGGGGGAGCTGACGAAGGAGCTTGAGGGCAAGGCGGCGAAGCTGGGGGTGATGGAGGAAGCGTTTCAGGTGAGGGGAAGAATCGGGATTATTCAGATTATTCCCGAAAACCTGTTCAATACTTTTGGCAAAAACTCCGGCAAAAACGTCCGATGAAGATATGTGTGCGCCGGAGGCAAAGGTGGGACCTCTCATCTTCCGGTTGAGTGTCGATGTCTCTCCTTGCGGAGGGTCCGATCTCAGATTCCAAAGTCGCTTCCTGGATAGTCTCTTCTTGGATTCTCCGAAGTTCGGGGCGATCCGGCAAACCCATTGAAGGTGCTGACAGGCTCAATCCCTAAACAATGCAGAAACGGTGTCTTCTCCCTAGAATTTGACTGCCTTTTTGCTGCTCTTTACCCCAAAATAAGCAGGCGCAAACCAGTGCAAAGCTGCTATGGAAAGCCGCCTGTAATCATCTCTTCTATTGTTAGATCGCTTCGACTGATCAAATTCCCCGAAAGTGGCGCAGAAAATCGCCAGACAGAGAAAGCGTGGCAGCCAAAGCACGTCTGTCCGATCTTTTTGAGTTCAATGGGCATATCCTTTGAAGCCCGTGCACACAAAAGGCACGGGGCGGGCGACGATCCACTGGCAAAACGTATGCCATGTTAGCAAGGAGACGTACCTACCAACAACGCTCTCCGAAACTAATGACAACATCCGAGAACTTGCTGACCCGCTTTACTTAGGTGATCCTATGCGTGCTCGGACCCTTGCAGGATCTGTTGGCACGGCTGGAAGAGGCCAGGACGTAGGCCGAGGCGGCTGTTGCGAGGGTCAAACTCGCGGATATTTTGGAGACGAAGCTAATTCTCAAGTTTTAAACTCGAAAGAGGTTGCTCCGCCCCCATGCCCACCGTGAAACCCCACACTGATCCCTACCTGTCCCTGTGAGTTTGTCTCATTGTCGCAATACTAACAAAGAGACTACTTTTTGCAGGATCTATTGGTGCGGCTGGAGGAAGCCAGGACGGAGGCGGAGGCGGCAGTTGCGGGGGTCAAATTTGCGGAGCAGCGGGCCGGGGAGGCGGAGCATGCGCGGCGGATGCTGAAGAGGCGGCTGCAGAAACTAGAGGAGGTGGACAAAACAGGTGCGAAGGGCCACTGGGCTTGTGTGGCCCCTTTTCACAAGGGCGCGTGTGCCCCTCTCTCACACTGGCCTTGTTTGTGTGCCCTTTGAAAGTTGATCACGGAGCAGTCACACTTCGGTGAGGCTTCTCCTCTGCGAAAGTGCTGTGGCGTGTAGTGGAGAAATGGCTATACACCATGGAATGTAGAGGGATTGCCTGCAGCTCGTTGTCGAGGCCAGATTGGGTTTGGAATATGATGCATCGGAAAACAAGCGCTGCCCTGGGGTTCTTGTCCCCTCCAATCTCGCGCAGTCTGCCAAACGGGGTGTGACTCGGTTCCCCTTCTGATTGAAACGGAGAAGCCGGCTGAAAAGCTTGGCTGAATTGAGCTGGACCGTAGCGACCAATACTTGGGTTTGCTTGTTGTTTCGGCTGTATCCTTAACCAGTCTGAACTGGGGAGGACGAATTGAGCCTCAAGGAGTTCTTACTTTACGAAAGCCGGAGTCTACGCTTCTTTTTGCGGTCCTCTCTCAAGCTCCTATTGTGCAGCAAAACGTTGACACCGAGGGCTGACTCCGCCCCCCCACGTTCTGCAGGCGACGGGATGTGGCGAGAGCTTGCTCGCCTCGCGGCCGCAAACGCCGCGCTTGAAGACCAAATCGCCCAGATGAGCACCGCACCTGCCAGCCCTGCGCTTCCCAATCCTAGTCCCCAACCCCGAAGCAGCCTGCAGACACTTGACAAGCCCCCTGCGCCACCATTGAACGGTTCGAACAGGAGCCCGGCAGACAGCGGCAACGATATTAGGGGCAGCGGTAACGGTTCGAAGGGGAGCCCGACCGGGAGCTCGAGCGGACGGGACGGAGTGCGGCTGAGCAACGACGTTGCTGCAAACCTGAGCAGGACGTTCGGGCTGTCACGATTGCCTACGAGCTCAGAGGAGGGCGTCCAACCAAATTCAACCAAAGTAGCGAAGTCAGAAGCCGGTCGGCCAGCGGCGGTTGAAGGAAGGAGCCCCACCCATTCCCAAGCTTCGAAGCGGTCGGTTCCCGAACCTTCGGCGGCGCCACGGCCGTCGCGAAGAGAAGAACAGGCGAAACGGCCCTCGACGGCCCGGACTTTGGGTCCGGCTCCGAGCGCAAACTCGTACGAAAGCGCCCGGAGGTCCGCACCGGTTTCGCCCACGACGTCACCCGGCGGCACCGCAAGAAACGCGGAAGAGCTGTCGAACAGCGTGTTCGACCGGCTGGCCGTTTTGCGGCAGCGGTTTGCGGGCGAGGAAAGCGGGGGATCCCCAACCCCAAGCCCCGGGGATCCCTCCGATTGGGTCCAGCCTGTGGGGATCCCTTCACCTGGAGGAAACACTGTGCAGGCAAACTCGCCCAGCGCGGCGTCTGACAAGGGTGCTGGAAGCCAGGACGAGTCCGCAACGCAAACGAAAGGCGGGGGGGGCGCGATCCGGAACCTGGTGCGCTGGTTTGAGACAAAAGTGCCCAGCAAGAAGTCGCCGTCCGCCGGAAGCTCGCCGGCAGCCAGGTCCCCCAGGTATAAGACGTCCCCCGGGGGAGCTTCTCCGGGCACCGACCCGCTCCGATTGAGCCCGGAAGTCGCGAGGTCGCCCTCTAATGACGCCCCAGGGGGGCCGCCGGGCTTTCTACGGTCGCCGTCAAACGAACTTCTCAGCGACACACAGAAGGCGTTCGCACGGGAATTGCCCCGGTTGGAAGTGCCGGGGGTCGCGTCCGAAGCGCACACTAAAGTGGATGAAGTGTCTGGGAAGGGAACGTCCGGATCGCCCAGGGCAACGAACGTCAGCCCGAGCTCCCCGGGCGTCCGGAAACGACTGGAGATCCTCCGGCAGCGGACGGCGCTGTTGACAGAAACTTCGAGCTCGGCTGAATTCTCGGACGAGAAACCGGCGGGTAGGGGCAAGGGAATTGTGCCACGGTTGGGCGGGGGGGGCGGCCGGCCCCGTATGCTGCTCGAGAGCAACAGCAGCAGCGACGCCGGGAGCCCAGAACCGCACCGGCGGACGGGCAGCCTGCGGCGGGAGGAACGCGTGTCGGAAGGGTTCGGGAGCCCGCAGTTGAACGCGGTACCGGCTTTCCTGTCGTGGATCCCGCCCGTGGAGGCTTTGGAGAGGAAGCCAAGTGTCACCGACAAACCGGACGTACGGACAGGGGCGAAAACGGGTGATCTGTCCAAAGGGCCAGCAGTCTCCGGGCGATGGGAAGAGGCTCAAAGCGGCATTGTTGCCGATGGGAACTCGCCGAGCAGCGTTTTGGAAAGGCTAGCCGTGCTGAAATCAAGAGGGACTCCACCGCTTGGTATAGACGGGGCAGCACAGTAACTCTAGGTGCGGTTGCAGCTAAGTATACACTCATCCGTCAAAGAGTTGCACTATCGTCAAGGAAGGGTTCGATTCTCATCGAACAAAGAACATTACGCGTTTTGATGTAGCTAGAACGATCGGGTGACACTGCCATGAGTGTGCAAGCTTAGCAGGCAATCTGCCTGTTGTTTGCGGCTTGAGGCATTCAGTAGCCTAATGGAGCTGAATCCAGGAAAGAACATAACGTAGGACAATTGTCTGACTGAATAGACATGCTCGCGTACTAAGGCAAGCTGCTCGCTGGCCTGCATCGTCTAACTTTTTGCAATACAATTCAAATTATGATGTCGATGCGTGAGTCTGATGGCACCTGGCGGCCGTACGGCTCTCAGTCTGATCTTTGCTTTGTGGGCTACACGTCCACTTGATCCTCGCATGTCTCCTAATCAACTCTTGAAGCCTAGCAACTTACGAGTGTCTAGCTAGCACGATCAAGCGCATGCGCTGATATCATCACATGCAGAGTTGCGAAACCCTGGACCATGGTTGGCATAGCTATGTGGCCCGCTGCCAATTGTGCATTACGGCTGCATCGCCTGCACCTGCCAAAACTGAATGGAACTTCGTGCGAAGCCGATCTGCATCATGGATTTTGATACGTATGTGCCACACCATGGCCCGCGTCTATAGGGTCTCTCGCGATCACGTGCGAATACGCGGCAATCATCCTTCCGCAAGCTAGAAATATAGTAACTTAAATATGGAACGCTTGAACACTGTACGGAGGCTGTACGTGAGTATATGTGCAGCGCACCTTCAATGTGGTAATGGCCATTCCAACGCGTTCAAGTTTGCAATCTGCTCATCTTTTAGTCAAGCTTCAGGCGGCTGTCTTTGTACGGCGACTCACTTTGCAACATCAAGCTTTTACTGACCGGCCTAGCCGACTTCACCGAAACACCTCCAAGATGATATCTGGGATGGATGTCAACCTCTGGTGACTCGCTGCTTATTTGCATGTTGCGGCTGTTACATGTGATCTAAGATCTCATGATCAATCAGGATGCACAGTATGCACGTCAAGCTCCTAAGCTCACGTCGACTCAGTGAGCTAGTGATCCCGGGTGCTAAGAGATCATTTTCAACATTATCAACATCAATGCGAAGGCTTTGGAAGAGCACCAAAGGCTTGCTTGACAGAACGGCTGATCGAATCATAATGTAATGATTGATGACTTACTTGTTGCAGCCGTGGCACATAGTCTTGATGCTATGGATGCCCCCAATTTATCATGCTTGCTCAGCTCTTCTCAATTTTATTCAAACCAATTGCGGCCTCACTGCAGCCACTGCTCTCAACCCTTGTAACTACTCGAAGTATTGGGCAGCCCGATTCCGGCACGGTCAAACGTCTGTACGGTACTATGCTCTTGAACCTTTTCGAGGACATCTCGTTTCGATTCATAAAAACGGATGCTTCTAGGAAGGCTCGCCAGTGGCTGAGGAGGTCAGCTTGTTTTAGTGTTTTGACAACATTGTCTGGACTCTGAAGTAAGCTACTAGTAACAAAGCTCGCGAGCTTTTTGAGGTTCTTCTACCACTTATCTCAGTAGTTGTACTGTTGTACCCCAGTTGCACGAGAGTTGCACTAAACATATCATGGGCGAAGGTAAGCAGAGTTTTGTAATCAGGGCGAGCTAGCATTTTCGTCCGTGCGGGGAAGTTCACGCATTGCTGCAATTTGGTTCAATGAGTAAAATTCATGTCGCATAGTCATCTAGTCACATGCCACTAATGAAGTGAAATGTCAAGAGGTCTGGCATGTTCGTACGTTAGCTTGACCTTGTCACTCGCTCAATACAGTTCATACGGGGTTCTGGGGTTGATACGTAGATGCGCAATGATGAGTTGGTCCTGACGGGGTCCTCAAACTCCGACATTCTGAGATCACTGGCATATTGTTTCGATTCGATTTGGCCTGATGCTTGGCGCTCAGTCATATAATATCATCATCATGCTAGGTGCTCTGCAAAATGGCTAGACGGTCCGACACGAGTCCTCGAGTCACCAGGCTCGCCAGCACTGTAGTGCATGTTTGGGCGGGCCCGGAACGGTGCCAGCGTGGCGGCCTCCCCGCACTGTGCGGGAGCGCGCCGGGAGAACCGCCATGGGTAGGTACCTCCTGACTGTACTGTACGTACCCAGCCTCCTGTACCACGAGCCGTGACACCAGGCAAACGTCAGCCAGCGGGATTGCCACCGGGCGGCCGACTCAACGGAGGGGCGGCCGACCAAGATTCCATCTGGGCCGGTACGTAAATTCATATTTGAGGTACCTAAGTAGTTTCTAGTACCTAAATTAAAGATTTGGACGTAGCACAAGCCGATTCAAAATTCTCCGTGTCGAAGCGGGAACAGTGAACACTGCAGCCTGCAGGGCCCCCTGCGTTGCGAAAGCTAGGGCGACCGGCGCTATAGTACCCGGGCCCGGTGTACCATGTACGAAAATGAGGGGCCGGCTTCTCAATGATTGAATTTGATACACTTTTCGGCATGACAACTTCCATGCCCGCTGGCAGCACTGCTGTCATTCAAATCTCAACTTCAAGATTCTCGATACTGGTCTACCTAGTAGGTACCGTATCCACCGATTCCACGCCGTACGGCATAGATCATATAAGTTATCGTCGACCGATCGATCGCGCAGATCAGAGTTTGACTCGGGTCAAGCGGCCAGGTTTGACCGAATGTGCAATACTGTCGAGAGTTTTGGCCAGGGGTCGGCAGAAAGTCCTCAGATCTCAGCTCAAAACCGGGTACTCCGAGTTCCAGTCGGCTTATGACGCCTTGACAACAATTTAACCCAGCTTCAACCCTGGTACCGTACTTCCCAGCTTCAACCCTGCAGCGCAGTGCAGCCTCCAAATAAAGGCCCGCTTTAGCCGGGTACTTTTCATTTTAGTCGGCTCTTCAGAATACCAGACCCCCCGGGCCCCCGCTTAATTGTGGTTCGGCCGGCCGGCCCTTTCGCCACGCGCGATTCACCGACCCCTGCCGGCCAGTGATAAGTACCCTAGCTACCGTACCGTCGTACCTAGTAAAAACGGTAAGCTATGGTAGTAGGTACTGCCGGTACTGTGTAGGTACTAGGTAGTGTATCATTTGTAAATAGGTAAAGGTACTTCGATTTCATGTTGACTATTATTATGAAAAGGAATGTTGACTGAGATAGGTATATATGACT